TTTAGGGTTTAGGGTGCAGCAGCTTTCTTTTTCGTTTGCTGCTGCTGCAGAAGTGGAGCCCCAAGTCCCCATCAGCTACATCTTAGTTGATTCCTGGCTTAATGCGGCGTTTGTAGGCGACGCAAGGTAAGTCTTGCTGCTGCTGCTGCTGCTGCTGCTGGTTATTCTGCTGCTGCTCTTGGCTATGCTTCTGCTGCTGGTTATTCTGCTGCAGCTGTTGCTGGTTACTGTGTGCTGCAGTTGCTGTTTTTTCTGTTGCTATTGCTGCTAGTAATTCTGCTGCCGCTGCTGGTGATTAATCTGCTGCTGCTGCTGCTTATTCTGCTGCTGCTGCTGCTGCTGCTGCTTTGTGCTGCAGCGGCGTCGTGTTCACTTTGCCATACGTTTTTCAGCTCTTAGAGGCCCCGGCCCTCCCCTCAGCCTTGCAGGCGGCGGGCTGAGGCCAGGCCTCCAGTTTGAGGCTGCTGCTGCTGCTGCTGCTGCTGCTGCTGCTGCTGCTGCTGCTTTTTCTTTTCCTGCTGCTGCTGGATGGGAGGACCCCAAGCCAGCTACTGGGCCGCTCTCCCCACAATGCATGCCATGGGGGCCTCCCGTTGGCGGGGCCCCACAGACGCCGTAGGCCTGTGCTGCTGCAGCTAGAAGCAGCAGCAGCAGCAGCAGCAGCGGGAGCTGTTGCCACGAGCAGCAGCAGCAGCACCTGCTGCAGCAACAGCTCTGGAATAGCGACTGCTGCGCCCTTTTCCCTTTCACAGCTCATCATTTTAGCTGCAGTTTTTCGAACAGAACAGTAAACAGCCAAATGAGGGCAGCAACAACAACAGCAGCAGCAGCAGCAGCAGCAGCAGCGCAACAACCCCAAAATAGTAGGTGGAGGTGCGAGAGTGCTGATAGGTCCCCGCAAGCCTAGTGCTCCAGCTACGCACAGCGAGCTAGCCACAGTTAGCTGGATTGAACTAGCTAGCCATAGCTAGCTAGCCATAGCTAGCTAGCCATAGCTAGCTAGCCATAGCTAGCTGGCCATAGCTGGCTAGCCATAGCTAGCTAGCCATAGCTGGCCAGCCATAGCTAGCTGGCCACAGTCAGCTAGTTACAGTTAGCAGGCCACAACTAGCTTGCCAGAGTTGATCAGCCACAGCTAGCTAGCCACAGCTAAGGAGCCACAGCTAAGGAGCCACAGCTAGCTAGCCACAGCTAGCTAGCCACAGCTAGCTAGCCACAGCTAGCTAGCCACAGCACTGCTGAAGCCAGGAAGACTCGTAGGCGTCGCCCCGCTTCTTTTCTTGAAGCTTTTCTGACTGTGGGGATATGTAACAGACCAGAAGCAGAACCCAGCTAGCTATGGCTAGCTCTAGCTAGCCCTAGCTAGCCGTAGCCAGCTATGGCTAGCTCCGGTCAGCCCTAGCTAGCCATGGCTAGCCGTGGCTAGCTCCGGCCCCAGGCTTCCTCTAGCAGCGGCATTCTCTAGAGCACCAGCGGCCGGAACGCGCTGCCCCGGGCCGGCTAGCCGAAGCTAGCTAGCTAGCCATAGCTAGCTAGCCACAGCTAGCTAGCCATAGCTAGCTAGCCTAGCTAGTTAGCTGTAGCTTGCTAGCGGTAGGTAACAGGCAGTGGCTAGCTAGCCGTAGCTAGCTAGCGGTAGGTAGCTAGCGCTGGCTAGCTAGAGCCAGCTAGTTAGAGTCTGCCAGCTAGCTATAGCTAATTGGAGCCAGCTAGCTAGGGCCAGTTAGCTAGTTAGGGCCAGCTAGCTAGCTAGCTGCAGCTAGCTAGCAGTAGCTAGCTAGCTGGTCTGAGCGCGCCTACGCAGCGAGGTAGCAGAGGCCTCTCCGTTCACTGCTGCTGCTGCCTGCTGCTGCTGCTGCTGCTGCTGCAGCTGCTGCAGCCATTTTCTTTCTTCTTTATTTCGTTTTGTGGTACTTCACAGAGTAGGGGCCGCCCGAAGGCCAGGCCCCACACGCGGGCGCCCCAGCCCCTCCTAGCCCCCAAACTAGCAGCTAGCTGCAGCTACCTGCAGCTAGCTGTAGCTAGCTGCAGCAGCTGCAGCAGCTGCAGCAGGCCGTTTTGCCCTGTCCTCCTCTCTGTGGCTGTGTAGGCAGCAGCTGGGGAGGGCCGCCGGGTGGGGAGGGCAGGTCTGCGCCGTGGCTAGCTGCGGCTAGCTGTGGCTAGCTGCAGCTAGCTGCAGCTAGCCACAGCTAGCCAGGCGTGTGGGGCTCGCTGGCTCAGAGCCCAAGTGCTCGCGGGCTTCGCCGCAGGGCGGCGCATGCCGGGAGCAGCAGCCGGGGGCCCCAAAGTGCCGCCGTTTTGGACTTAGTTGAAAAAAAGAAATAAATTTGAGATTTTATTATATTTAAAAGTTTTTGGTGGAGTTAATTTTGGGGTCAGCAGCGAAAACGGCTGCGCAGCAGCAGCTGCTACTGCAGCAGCAGCAGCAACGGGGCTGGACCTAGCAGCAGCGGCGCCGCGCATGCCACGGGAAGCAGCAGAAGCACCTTGTGTGTTAAACAGTTAAATTTTAAATGTAAATTGCAAAACAATTTAGACTTGTCTGCGTGTTGGTGTGGCTGCAGTCTGTTGCCTGGAGCGGCGCCGCAGCAGCAGCAAGCGCGCTGCAGCAGCTGCTGCTGCTGCTTGTGCTGCTGCGCCTGGTGCTGCTGCCGCAGCCGCTGTAGAGCCCCAGATTACCTTCTGCTCCTGCTGCTGCAGCTCCCCTGCTGCAGCTGCTGCAGAGCCCCGGCTTGCCCTCTGCTGCTGCTGCTGCAGCCCAGCAGCCGCGAGCCCAGGGGCCCCGGAAAGGTCCCTGCTGTCGAGACACCCCACGGCGCGCAGGCTTCTGCAGCTTTGCTGCTTTGCTGCTGATCAAACACTTTTAATAATTCAATTTGAAGCAGCAGAGGCCTCGGGGGTTCGAGGCAGGCGCAGGAGCAGCAAAGTCGTCTGCGCAGCTTCTCGCCGGCGCAGCAGCAGCAGCCACGGCTGCTGCTGCTGCTGCTGCTGCTTCCACATCAGCTAGCGCTGCTGACTTCAAAGGGCCACGCTGACGCCCGAAATAGTAGCAGCAGCAGCAGCAGCGGACTCAGCAGCCGCAGCAGCGAGCTCAGCAGCAGCAGCAGCAGCAGAGGCGACAGCAGCAGCAGCAGCAGCAACAGCAGCTGCGTCTGATAACGGAACAGCAGCAGTTATGTGCATGCAGCCAGGAGGGCGCGATGCCTGCTGCTGCTGCTGTCTTGAGGCCCCGAGCACTTCCTAGGCGCCGGCTGTCGCTTTTGCTGCTGCTCGTCGCCGCTAGAGTTTAGGGTTTAGGGTTTAGGGTTTAGGGTTTCTGGATTAGCAGCTGCCTCACGAACGCAGATGCAGCTGAAGACAATCGGGGAAATAAACGCACACCCACCGGTTTTTGGCAGCAGCAGCAGCAGCAGCAGCGGGAGTAGTAGCAGCAGCAGTCTCAGCGAGAGCAGCAGCAGCAGCAGCAGCGGCGGAAGCAGCGGCAGCAGCAACAGCGGGAGCAGCAGCAGCAGCGCCTCCGGCAGACGAGCTGCCGCAGCAGCGTAGAGTCGCTAGTGATTCAGCAGCGCTCTCAGCAGCAGCAGCGGCAGCGGCTACTGCAGCAGAGACAGCAGCAGCAGCAGCAACAGCAGCAGCAGCAGCAGCAACAGCAGCAGCAGCAGCAGCAGCAGCAGCGCCGACGATGAGCGAGTACCTGGATTTCTTTCGGGCGGAAGTGTTGGGGCGGAATGGAGTCGGTGGGGCCTCGACGAAGCAGCAGGTGAGGCAAAATAGGCAGCAGCAGCAGCAGCAGCAGCAGCAGCAGCAGGATGAAAGTGCAGAGAGAGAACCAGAGGCCTCAGAAGACACACAGAGATGGGCAATAGCTGCAGCACCTATTGTCGCAGCCAACGTGCTGGCCCTGCTGCTGCTGTTGCTGCTGCTACTGTTGCTGCTGCTGTTGCTGCTGCAGCTGCTGTTCGTGTTTTTGCTGCTGCTGCTCTTGCATTTTGCCCTCGCTGCTGCTGCTATGCTGGTGCTGTCACTTCTGCGGTTGCGGCTAGTGCTGCAGCAGCTGCTTCTCTCTGTTGCGGCTGCTGGTGCTGTTGCTGCTGCTGCTGCTGCAGCAGACGGGCGTTTTGCTGCCTGCCGCTGTGCCGTGCTGCTGCAGCATGGCACACGTCTGTGTGCTGCTGCTGTCGCGCCTTTTTGTGTCCAAAGAAATTTAAATAAATATAATTAAATTAAAATGATTTAAATTGATTTTAATTTAATTAGTTTTGCTGCTGCTGCGCAGGTGGAGGCCCTGGGCCGCGTGGGGCTGCTGTGCGAAGTGCTGGGCTCCAGCAGCACGCGGCTGCTGCTGCTGCCGCTGCTGGCGGAGCTGCAGCAGCAAGTTGGCTGCTGCGACGAGCTGCTGTCGCTGTTTGCTGTGCAGTGGAGAGCAGCAGCAGACACAGCAGCAGCAGATGCAGCAGCTTCTGAGCAAGAGCTCAGAGATTCACTTTGCTGCTGCGCCGACGCCCTCGCCCAGCTCGCAGCAGCAGAAGAGAAATGCGTTCGAAACGAGGTCTGCTGCTGCCGCTGCTGGTGCTGCTGCTGGCCTTACTGCTGCTGGCCTCACTGCTGCTGCTGTTGCTGCTGGTCGCGCTGGTGTTGCTGTTTGCTGCTGCTGATCTTGCTGCTGGTTTAGCTGCTGCTGCTCCTGCTGCTAGTTTCGCTGCTGCTGCTGCTGCTTCAAGTGCTGCGGCTTGTCTGCCGGCCTCATTCAACTAAGGAGCGGCGTTGCTGCTGAGGACGCTGCTCCTAGGGTTTAGGTCTAGGGTTTAGGGTTTAGGGTTTAGGGTTTAGGTTTAGGGTTTAGGGTTTCGTGGGGGTTTGCAGGCGGTGACTTCACTTTTGTCTTTGTTGGATTTGCTGAGGACTCCGTCTCGAGAGATATTAGCGAGAGAAAAGCTGCTGCCGCTTTCTGTGTCTTTAGCAGCAAACGAAAGCTGCCTGTTTGGCCGCTGCGCTGCAGCACGGCTGCTGCCGCGGCTGCTGCGCTTTGCTGCTGCTGCTGCTGCTGCTGCTGCTGCGCCGCCGCAGCCCCCGGACGGGCCACTGGTCAAGCGCGAGGTGCAGCACGAGGGGCCGGCAGCAGCGGACTGCGCGCCTTCGCCGACCCCTGCTGCCGCTCCTGCTGCTGCTGCTGCAGCAACCGCTGCTGCCCCTGCTGCTGCTCCTGCTCCTGCTGCTGCTGCTCCAGCTGAAGACCCAGCCGGGCCCACCACAGCCAAACAAATTCTACGGTCAGTCTCTCTTGGCTGCTGCAGAGCCGGGGGACCTAGGCCCAGCCTGCAGCAGGGTTTAGGGTTTAGGGTTTAGGGTTTAGGGTTTAGGGTTTGGGGTTTGTCTTGCTGCTACTCAGGCTGTTCGAGGGCCTCTGTGCTGACGAGTCCTTGTTGGTTCGCCGCGAGGCGCTGCAGCAGCTGCCAGCCCTTGTGCACGGCGCGCGGGAAGCAGCAGCAGCAGCAGAAGCAGCAGCAGCAGCAGCAGCTGCTGCGGCGCCTTCCGCCGCGGCATCAGCTTCTGCCTCGGATTCTGCTGCTGCAGCTGCTGCTGCTGCTGCTGCTGCAGACGAGGTGGCAACGGCCGCGCTTCGCATCCTTCGAGAGGCCTTGGGAGAGACTTCTGTAGGTGCCCCAGCTTCTGCCCCCTTGCTGCTGCTGCTGCTGCTGCTGCT